TGAAGCCTACTAGGGCATATAATTATCCTTAAAAGGGACAATCAGAAACCAAATCTCCTCTCTCTCTCTCTCTCTCTCTCTCTCTCTCTTTCTCTCACTCCCCTCTCTACCATGAAACTCATGGTTTGCTTTACTATGCTCTTCCTGATATGATATCCTGCCTGTCATAGGCCCAAAATAAATCTGCATGTATGAATTAAAACCTGTGTACCAAAGTGTATGTGCTGAACCATGTGAGGAACACATGATGAATATTTTCCAGACCATATGTGCTTCTATATTGATCTCAAATTCTGAACTCAGGACTTGACAAAAAAATAACTGAGATCCAAGATGGTGGAGGCATGGCACAACCAGGGCATGGTTGTTACCAATCTACTATGCTGCACCCTGGTGTGCCTCTCTTACTGGGGCCTGGGCCTGCCAGCAGCTACAGCATAGCACACCCATGGTTGGCCTGGCCGTCATCCAGTGGCTGTCAAGACTTGGCTACAGCCCTCTGCAGCAATAGGAATCTGAGAAGTCTACAGATTTCAGAAAATAAACTAGAGGGCACTAGTATAAAACTGTCGTGTGAAGTTGTGAAACCTCCCAGTTCCCACTCAGAGAATCTTGGGTTGGATGCCTATGAGCAGGGTCCTCCTGCTGTGAGGTCCTAGCTTCTGCTTTTATCCACAATAAAACCCTGTGGGAAATCCACCTCTTGGATAACTCCTTGGACCACAGTGGGGTGAGTGTACTGAGTGAAGTCCAGGAACAGCCAAAGTATAACCTGCATGTACTTGGGCTGTGAAAACCTGCCTTTGATGAGGAAACCCAAGCATTTCTGATGGCTGAGGAAGAGAGAAAGCTATACTTGAGAATCCTAAGCAGTGTATAAGGAAAACAGAAAACAAGGGTGAAAATTCCATTCTAAGAAACCTGGGTGTATCCTGGCCCCAGACTACATACAAAGGAAAAGGAGTGGGCCCTTATTTTGGCCCTTCAATGTGTAAGATTTCTAAATCACTGACACTCTAATGAGATATGATTTCTCTGACACCAGTACACATGTGTTGTGTAAGATGGATGGTATTTTTCATTTGCTAGTAGAGGTCATGAGATGATTGGGAGGTGGTAAGATGAGAGTGAAGATGGGGAGACGGTCTGAATACGAACAAAATACAGCATATGAAATTCTTGAATCCATAACAATTTTATAAAAACAAAAGTCTGTGTATCAAAATGTACCTTTTACTTACCCTGTTTGTTATAGAAACAGAAAGCTTACTAACACTCAAGAGAGAAGGGAAATGGTAAGTATTGGGAGGGAACACTTGAGAGATCAGAGAGCATCTCACTTACAGGGTGACTTATGAACAAAAACCTGTGGTAGTTCAAGTCCTGTGCCAAGTGGATGTTAAAGAGTGTATTAAGCTGTTCAATGGCCTTGAGGTGGGTGTATTTTCATAGGTCTGAGGACTAGAGGTGCAAATGTGGCTAGAGTGAAGTAATAAAGACAGAAAATGTGGGAAAGTCTGCATGGTCGTCCCTCAGTATTAGGAACAGTCTCGCTCCCAAACTTAGTGACCACTGTAGTTATTCCCTGTTTCCATAAGCAGTAAATGAATAAAAGGTCAGAGAGAGCTCAGGAATGTAAATAATGGATGGTCCTTTCAAAAGGACAGACCCTCAAAACTGAAGACTGTAATTCTGAAGAGACAGCCAAGCATCTTTTTGTGCATGTGAGGCATGTCAAGATGACTAAAAGTAGAGTTAGGTACAAGAGAAATGATCCAAAAACAGAAGAAATGGAAACGACATACACCCTACTGGGTTCCAACTGGAAAAAATATTTTTTGCATAAATATTTGAGCTACTAGCAAAGGGTAGGATTTGTACATCTGGGGTTAGTTTGTTGATTGAGATTTGCCATGCCAAATTCCCCTCTCCCATAGGAGACAGGGACATGAGCTCTCTGGGATCCCAGAGCCCTGCCACCACATTGTCCCTCTTAAGTTACAGTTTGGGTGATAATAATATTTATTTGGGTTTGCCAACAAAGTTTATGCTATTTAGGAGAGGGTCACTTACAAAGACATGAACTCTCATGGGCTCTTTCTCTTCCATATTTGAGATCCACCATCAGCACATGTCCACCCATGGCCTGCCTGCTCTGCTCCAAAAATGGTGACTCCCAGAGCGCTCAGCACGTTTTGCAACTACTGTCTCTAGACCCTCCCCCTCTGAGTCTCTTGGGGTTCAGTTCTAGTTCCCTCAGAGGACACACATACCCAACAATTTTTCTTTCTTTTTTGTTCGAGTCTCCCTTCTGTCAGAAGAGGTATTTATAGTGCTCAGGAGGGGACTAATTCATAGCAGGGTGGAGACGTTGAGTTTCTCTGGTGCTTAGGGCTACGGCTTTATCTTAGGTCTTCTGTTTATCAGCTATAGTTTGGTTCCTGCAGTGGTTTGATCTAGAAATTTAGAATAAGCTTTCCCTGGTAGTGTGGACAGACCCTGGGTCTCTCAAGACCAGATGGGACAACTGGAGATGCCCAGTCAGGCAGTTGGCATGTTTCTGGCTAGTCTTGAAGGGAGGAAGGGGCCTGGGTCTCCAGGCAGTTGGAGAAGCTCCTGGTGGGAAGCTGGCTGGGATCTAGCAAATCTCAACGGTGGGGAGAGGACAGGAGGAGGTGACTTCCCCTGGAAAGCAGCAGTGGGGCTTTGGGGTGACCCAAATTGATGGGGCCCCAGAAGAGAGAGCATAGGTAATCATTCTGGTCTCCCAGCCACCCTGCAGACCAAACTTTCAGTCATGGATATCTGAGGTACAATCAGCCAACATACAAACCACAGCATTTCTGTTTTCAAATACAATGTTAATTCATTAAAATATAAGACAGTCTTCAATGCCAAAATTGTGCAAGTTTATTTGCTTACACGTGTATAATTTATATATAGCATTTAGTTAAGAAGAGTCTTTTAGGTCCTCTATTTAGTAAATAGAGTAGAAATACCTTTCTATAAAGGCTGGCAAATTTGTTATAGTCAATATGACACCATAAGAACAGATAACCACATAGGTGTTTATGGAAATTTTAATCAGTAAGCTGAAAAAAATCAGATTTATAATCATATTTTATACTGAAATGCTCAACTCTCCGAAGATTTTTACAAATGATGGTACAAAACTTAAATCTAAATGCATTAAAGGCACTTGGTGAATCTTTAAGTACTAAAAGGTAATGCACTCAGTTGGCCTTGGGGGGAGGGAAGGTGCTGGGGATGAAGTCCGGGCCTCACACATGCTCAGAAGTGCTCTACCACTGAACCACACCCCCACCCCTCAGTTGGTTCTTCATCAACAATCTTTACAGGAAAACTCAGAATTTCCTAATAGAATTAGTTAAAAGGATTACTCACCCCACCTGAACCTCAACCCTGCCCCAGGTGTCTACATCATGGATGCTCACCTGTTTAACAAAAGGAACTATACTTCCTATGGCTATCATAAAATAAAATTACGAGAGCTTAACATTTGTGTATTTCATATTTTCTTCATCCTAATGTGTGGCAATATTAGAAACCATGTAGAGAAGTTAACCTGTCCTCAGACTGGTTTACATGGCTGTCCAATTTTATAGTCTTTAACATTTTCAATGCTATGAAATGTGTGGTCATTAACAGCATCACAATGTTCCACAGCTAGTGGTATTTCAGATTGAAACGCCGGGTTGTGTGACTTCAAGAAAAATCAACATTAGCCCCCAGGGTTTCTCCAACTACACCCTATTAGCATCTTGAACAGAGTGATCTTTGGTTAGGAGAGGGAAGCTACACTGTCCAGCAGGACTTTTAGCAGATGCCCTGAATTCTTCTCCCTAGATGATACTGGCACCTCCCTCTTCCTTCATTCTGACCACTCAGAATGCTTCCAAATGACCCCTGAGAAGCACAATGTCTCCTGTTTCCTCTGGAGAGGAAAAAAAAATGACTGCATCAACAATGAAATACATGAATATGAATTTATGCTTTTTACATCTAACATATATTTTTCATTTCTCTGTAGAGTGAATATGACTGATCTATATCTCTCATTACAGTTTATATTCTCTTCATTGGAATAATCCCACTCATTCTTTTATTTATAGTTA